CTTGGTCTAATAAACAATGCTGGCATGAATAATTTTATATGTATGCAGGTGCACATACACAAGATTTTCTGTAGGACAGTAATCTAGGAGTGGAATGGCTGGATCACTGGGGATGAGGATGTTACGAGATAGTGGCATATGCTTTTCCAAATTAATTAAACATGTTTACAAATCCAGTTTCTATCATTCTAAACCCTTTCCAGTAGTTAGTATTCCCAGGACTCTTGATTTTTGCCAATCTAATAAGTAAAATATGTTACCTATTGTTTCCTATTTTCATTTTTCTGATTAATAATTAAGTTAAACATGTTCTTTGAATAGGCAATTCATATGTTAGCTTCAATGAAATGTCAGTTCATAAATTTTTGCCCATTTTTCTATTAGGTTATTAATCTTTGCAGTGTATCTTAGATACTCATTTTTGATCAATTAAATGAATGTAGATATCTTACCCCAGATGGTGACTTATATTTTCTGTTTTTACAGTGTCTTTTAATGAATAGCAGTCATGTTTTATTTTGTCATGTTTTACTACCAAAATAAAGTTTTTATTAAAAAAGAAATAATTCAGAAAAAAGTTTTCATTTTAATGTAGACAAATTTGTCGATACGTTTTTATATAGTAAGTTTTATTGATACTTCCTTGAGATTCTCTTCTATCCCAAGGCCAGGATGCTTTGCTTGTATATTTCTTTTAGTGTTTTTGTTTATGATTTATTTTTCTCATCATCAAATATTTCCGTGTGTAATTCCTAAAAACATAGACATTCCTGTACATAATGACAATACATGTAATTATTTAAAGAAATAAACATTTTTACAATACTATATTTAAGCTACAGAATTTAGTTAAATTTTGCTGTGTTCTGCTATTGTTTGAGATTTTTTTAAAAAACCTTTGTGTTATAAGACTTCCAGTAAAGGTGGATGTGTAGGTAGATGCACTTCACCCTCTCATTCAACCATAGAATTACAACCAGATCTCCAAACTAATAATACCCAGAACTGTCAGAAAACTGAGCTGTATGGAAGTCTGACAATCAAGGATTTATAGAAGACACATTCATCTAGACATGCAGGAGGGGTAAAGTCACGGAGACAGGCGGAGAGGCAGTGTGGTGGAGAGATGACAGCAGAATGGATGGGAGGGATATATTCAGTGCAAGTGATCCCAGCCTCAGGCCACACAGCCCAGGGTGCCAGCACTGGGAAGATAGATCCCCGTTATTCTGACTGTAAAAACCAGTGGGGTTTGGGGTGGCAGAAGAAACTGCTGGATTTTCGCCACTGAAAGGGCCAGCACTGTCTTAGGTATGCAAACCCACCCACTCCAGGATTCCCCACTGGTGCAGCAGCTGGAAGGGTACCAGTTGCACATGGGAAGTGGGTGAAAAGACTGGAAACAGGACAAGCACCAGGTGAACTCCCAGAAGCCAGGTGGTGGCATTGCTCCTCTCTAAGTGTCCCCGCATGGACACAAAGCAAGTGGAGAAGTGGGTTCTGCACCCAGGCAATTACCTATGGCTCTACCCCACACAATTTACAGGGTTTTTTTTTTTTTGTGATAGGCCATGCTACTAAGACAGTGAATAAAAGCAGCTCTTCCTGATACATAGAAACAAATACAGGGAGGCTGCTAAAATGAGGAGACAAAGAAATATGGCCCTTGTGAAAGAACAGAACAAAACCCCAGAAAAAGAACTAAGAGAAATGGAGATAGTCAATCTGTCGGGTGCAGAATTCAAAACACTAAACACTGGTTGTCAGGATGCCCCGAAAACTCCTTGAGTATGGCAAAAAAAACCAAAAAAAAAACAAAGGAGGAAATGAAGGTCACATTAGTGACATAAAAAATAATGCATAGGAAACCAACAGAGAAGGGATGGAAGCTGGGATTCAAACCAATGATTTGGAACATGAGGAAGAGATAAACATTCAACCAGAACAAAAAGAAGAAACAAGAATTCAAAAAAATGAGGACAGGCTTAGGAACCTCTGGTACATCTCCAAATGAGCCACATCTGAATCATAGGGATGCCAGAAGAAGAGGAAGAGCAAGAAATTGAAAATTTATTTGAAAAAATAATGAAAGAAAACTTCCCTAATGTGGTGAAAGAAATAAACATACAAATCCAGGAAGCACAGAGAGTCTCAAACAAATTGGACCCAAAGAGGAACATACCAAGACACATCATTATTAAAATGTGAAAATAAAGAGGGAATCTTAAAAGCAGCAAGAGAAAAGCAGAAAGTTACCTACAAAGGAGTTCCCATAAGACTGTCAGCAAGTTTATCAAAAGAAAGTTTGCAGGCAAGTAGTATTCAAAGTCATGAAAGGCAAGGACCTACAACCTAGATTACTCTATCCAGCAAAGCTATCAGTGAGAATGGAAGGGCAGATAAAGTGCTTCCCAGATGAAGTCAAGCTAAAGGAGTTCATCATCACTAAGCCATTATTATAAAATGTTAAAGGGAATTATTTAAGAAAAAGAAGAAGATCAAAGCCATGAACATTAAAAAGGCAACAAATTCACAGCCATAAACAACTGAATCTAAAACAAATAAACAAGCAGAACAGGAACAGAATCATAGATATGGAGATCATTTGGAGGGTTATCAGCTGGGTGGGGAAGTGAGAGAATGAGGAAATGGTGCAGGGATTAAGAAGCATAATTTTTAGGTACAAAAGAGACAGGAGGGTGTTAAGAATAGTATAGGAAATGGAGAAGCCAAAGAACTTACACACATGACCCGTGGACATGAACTAAGCAGGAGATTGCTGGAGAGAATGGGGGTGCCAGGCACAGGAGGGCAAAGGAGGAAAAATTGGGAACACTGTAATAGCATGATAAATAAAATACAATAAAAAAACCTTTATGGTTTGAGGTAGTTGCAGATTCACATGTGGTTTTAAGGAATAATGCAGAGAGGTGTTGTGTACTTTTTATCTGTTTTCCTCCAATGGTAGCATCTTGAAAAGTACGATACAATATCACAATACAGATATTGACATTAATGCAATCAAGGTATGGAACAGTTTCATCACAAGGCCCCCAGCTCTAGCCCTTTTATACTCATGCCTGCTTGCTTTCACCCCATGCTCCCAATTCCCAATTTTAGACAACTACTAATCTGCTCTGCATCTTCATAATTTATCATTTTAATATTTCTGTATAAATGGAAATCATGGCATTAAACACTTGAGGGTTTACTTTCACACTCATCGTAATTTGTTGAGATTCATCTAAGCTATTGCATGGATCAATAGTTTATTCTTTTCTTGTTGAGTAGTTGCTAATTCCTTTTAAAATACTTGGTAGAATTCTCAAATGAAACCATCTGGGCCCGCAGATTTCTTTTTTGGGAGCTTTTAATTACAAATTTAATTCCTTTAATGGTTTAGGACTACTCAGATTATATCTTTCTAATTGAGTTTCAGTAGCTTGTGGCTTTTGAGGAATTGTTTTTTTCTAAATTGTTTAATTTATGAGCATGAAATTGTTTATATTTCTTTATTATACTTTTAATGACTGCAGAATCTATAATGATATTCTCTGTTCCATTCATAATATTTGTGTCTTCTTCCTTTTTTTGACAGTATTACTTTATAGAGTTTTATCAATTTTGCAGACTTTTTTTGAAGAACAGCATTTTGTTTCATGATTTTCTGAATTGCTTTTCTATTTCCAATTTTCTTGATTTCTGCTTTTGTCTTTATTATTTCCTTTTTTCTTCTTTTAGCTTTGGATTTCTTATGTTATCTTTCTACTTTGTTGAGGCAGAAACTTACATCAGTGATTCGAAACATTTTCTCTTTTTTAATGTAAGCAGAGAGTGCTATAAGATTTCCTCTCAATACTGCCTTAGCTGCATCTCACACATTTTAATATGTTGTATTTTCATTTATTTCTATATTTTTAAACTTTTTTGAGAATTTCTCTTTGATCCATGGATTATTTAGAAATGTGTTATTTAATTTTCATATATTTACAAAATTTTCCTGTTGTCTTTTTTTTTCTAATTTGATTTTATTATGTTTAGAGAACACATTACCTTTTTTTTTTTTACTAGATTAGGGGTCAGACCTGAGTCACCTTCTTCCATGAGACTGCAAAATATTTTGCCACTATGCTGTTCTTCAGTTCTGGCATCTCTAACTAGTTTACCTTCCTATTTCCACTTTTCAGAGTTCTGCTTCGGTTGTGTCTTGCAATATTTCCAGGGTTTATAGTGGTACTTATCAAGCAAGAACAGGAAGAGGTGTGGTCCCCTTCTTGTCTGGACTGGATATCTCTTCACAGAATTTGCTTTCCAGTTTTAAATATTTAATGACATTAGAACTTTTGTTTTTTAAATGTGGATTATAATAGGAATCTAACTTCACTTGGTTTTATTCAGATAATTGCTGTCTCAGATAATTTATTTTTATGGTTCTTTTTCTACCCCCAGAGGTCTGTATGCCAGCTCTGTCATTTAATAACTAGTTTCCATGGGCTTACTTCTGGGCTTTTTAAATGTTCCATCAGTGTTGTTTTTTTTTTTTACTCCTGTGGCAGTGTGATACTTTTTAATTATTATAGTTTTAAATAAAGTTTGTATGTATAATAGGAAAATTCCCTCAACCTTATTCTTGTTCTTCAGAGGTATTTTAGCTATTCTGTAATTCTTTATATATTTTAAAATAGAATTGCCAAAATCTTAAAGAATTTATTTCTTAACACTTTTATGGGAATAGCTTTGGTTTTGTGTTTTATCATTGTCAAGATAAGTGACATGTTTGTGATAGTGCAGGTTTCCATGCATGAGTGCACATACATTCTCTTCCCATATATTTAGATTTTTAAAATATATTTCAATAACATTTTTATACTCTTTTCCATACAGACCTTGTACATGTTTGTTTGTTAAAATGTAATTCTGAGTACCTGATAAGTTTTGCTATTATAAATGATATTTACAAATAGTTAAAATAAATCCTTTGTCCTTTTGTCGGCTTTGAGGCCTCCAGCAGAGATCGAGAGGAAGCCCATGAGCTCAGTGCAAGATCGACCCTCTGTCCAACTCGATGCCTCCATCAGCAGTTCAGAGGGAGCTCTCAGACTTGGAATAAGACCACACCTCTGCAGGACAACACTGGCAGTAGACAACAGAGTGCCCGAACACTCAGAGAAAGGCTGCCCACATACAGCAGGAGCCCATCGGGAAATTCTGAGCAACACATGTCCCTGTCCAGTCTTTCCTCAATTCCCTCTTCAACATCCAAACCCTCCTCCACCCATGTTCTTTTTACTGTTCAAAAGGAGTCTAGACCTGCCCGTTCATCTTGTGCTGCAGAAATCTAATTCTCCCTAAGGCTCCTTGTATCAGATTTTCTGACCCAGTTTCTCCTCCCTCATTTCTGACTCCCAAAACATTTCTTCTGTCTTCTCTGGAACTCAAGATTTTTGATCAGAAAAATTCTCTATAGTTTCAACTTGCATGAATGTTCCCTTCAGCTTCTGTGCTAATGGAAATCTAGCTTTTCCTTAGTTATAGTTTCTCCTGCAGCCAGTGCAATTCTGGTAAATGTTCAGCAATCAGCCCTTTGGGAGGAAAAGCCTTCATTTTTGTGTTTTCTAGTTTCTGTGCAATGAATACTCATATCAGAGCTTTTGAGTTACCATCTTTCTTCAAAAAAATGGAGTTGGGAAGGACGTCCATGGTCAGCTCTAAGACAGCTCAGCTCACCATGTGGTACAGGTACTGTTCAGGCTGACTGTTCTCTCCGCTCCCTACACAGCCCAGCTTTGGACCTGGGCGTCAGATAACTGTGCCCTTGGCTGCTCATTGCTGGTTTCCGTTTCCTCTCCTGCTCTCTCTGCTCTGAACACATCCTGCCTTGAATCTCCTATCATCAGATCATCCCACTGACTCAGTTTTTATTACAGGAACTTTTTTCAGGTTATTTTTCTTGGTAAATTGAAAAAAATCAAGGCCTATGACACTGTCACTTTCTTAAACACCAGTCTTTCATAATTCCTTGTTATTTAAGTATTCATATGCATGGGCCTTGAGATGTGCTGGACTTCCAGTCCCTCGACAGCCTCTTTCTTTCATGCCTGTTCTCCATCCATGCTCAGCCGCTCACTTTCTGGTCATTTCCCAGGCCTTGTTATTGCCAATAAATATCACAATTTTCCATTTTTGTCACTGCTTGCTTCTTGCCTTCCCGACCTCAGCATGTTGAGATGTTGTAGAGCTCAGTTTAGGGACCTGTTTTTGCTGCCATCTCTATGTGGGTGTTTCAACAAGCCTCACTGCTTTAAATTACCTATGTATTAGTGACTCCTTTTACATCTTCAACTGAGGTCTCTTCCCTGAACTCTCATTTTATATGTTTAACTGCATACTTGCTCCTGCAGCTGGATGTGGATTCCTCACTAAAGCTGTCTCTCCTACAATTTTCTGTATCTTAATGAATGGAAACTCCATCCTGCCATTTACCGAGCCAAAAAGCTAGAATTGTCCTTGAGTCATTTCTCAACATTTCACATCAGATGTGAAAAATAAATCCTTGGTCTATCTTTGAAAAATATTCACACTTCTGTATTTTGTTACCTGTTTGTTTTTCCCATTATCTGCAGCTTGCATTATTGCAGTAGCCTCCTCACTGGTCTCTTTGACTTTTCTTTGTTTTCCTTCTGGCTCCTTTGAACACAGAACAGAGTGATTCTCTTAAAACATACATCTGTCTGTAACATTTCTCTGTTGAAAACTTTGTTTGGCTTCTTATCTTTCCCAGTTACAAGTAAAGTCATTATAGCCTCTGAGACCTGTGACATGATCTTGCCCATTTGTACCTCTCTGGCCTTATCTCTGGTTAGTCTCCCATCTTCTATTCAGTTACAGCCACAGTAGCCTCCTACCTGTTTGTAGAAGACTCTGGACATGCTCCTGCCTACAGGCTTTCACACTCGAGGTTTCCTCTGCCCGAGTATTCTTCCCTCATGTCTCCTAATGGCTCTTCCCCACACTTCCCTTAGATTTACTTAAATGCCCTCTTTTCAATATACCTTCCATAGCCACCCAGTCTTAATTTTAATGCTGCCCCTCATTCCCTGAACCCCAAGGGGGCCTCATTCCTAGGCCCCCTTGCTGTCTTACTTTTTCTTCTCACATGTCTACATATATTTCTTTTATACATCTCTGTTGTACTTGATAATTTGTTCGTTGTGTCTCTTCCCCAGTAGGATGTAAGCTCCAGGAGAGGAAGGATACTTATCTGTTTTATTCACTGATACATTTTCCATGCCTAAAATATGATTGGCAAATTGTATTTATGCCATAAATGTTTGTATTTGAATGAATGTGAAAATGAAAAAATGTGTTTTGTTAGTTGTTATGTAGATATGAATTTGATTACTCTAAGTTGATCTTAAATTCACTGACCTTGTTAAACTCTCTATTTCAGTAGTTTGTCTATAGTTTTTAAATTTTTTTTGTGAATGCTCTCATCTATGAACAATGGTAGTTGTGATTTTCCTTTTCCATAAAATCTTCCAGATTTCTTATCTGTGCATTGTCTGGGACCTCTAAAAAGTGATTAAAAGGAATTGGTTGGAGTAAGCATTCTTACATTGTTTTTGATTTTAAAGGAAATGCTTCTCATGCTTCAACATGGGAAATGATATTTATTGTCTTTGGTAGATACTCTTTTTTTAAGTAAAGAAAGTTCTTTATGCTTCCACATTTGCTTGGTTTATTTGTTTGTGTCTTGTCATGACTTAGTGTTAATTTTTTAAATCACAAATTAATGATTTGTTTTCTCATGAGTGAATACTAAACTTTTGCTTCTGAGATAATTTTCTCCATTAATATTTTAGTGTGACAAGCGACAAAATCGATTTTGTAATATAAATATTCTCTTTTATTATTGGGCTAAATTTACCATATTTATGTGTCATCTGATTTATATATCACTGGATCTAGTTTAATTTTTTTCTTACAATGGTTACTTCTAATTTATGAAGAAAATTGACCTATAACTTTTTTAATAACTATCTTTTCATAATTTTAGTGTCGTCTCTTTGAAAGAGCTTTTATATTACATAAGACTTATTCCATAAATATATTGTAGAAATGTTAAAACAAATAGGAGCTGATATATATATTTATGGGAAGATTTTATTCAATGGATTTAGACTTTTTAATGCAGTAGAATGATAGAGGTTATTTCTTCTTGAATCAATTTTTCTAAGTTAAGTAATGTTTACATGAATATAACCATTTTGTTTTAAGTTTAAAATTTAACAGCATAAAGGTATTTGTCATACTTTTTATCTTTTAAATCTCTAATGGATCCATAGTTATATTTTCTTTTTATTTTTAATGTCTATTTCTTTCCCTCTCTTTTTACAGTTTCCCTCTCTTCCCATTCTTATCTGTCTCCCTGGAGACACATGAATTTATAGGCATTTTTGAAGATTCAACTTAAGAGTTTTATGATTCTCGATTATGTCTATTTTTTCTTGCATTACTTATATGTAACATTTAAAATTTTGTTCAATTTTAAGTATTTTAAGATTTCTGTTATGATTTCTTCTTTGTCCCATAGTTTATTTAGAAGGAATTTTTAATTTTAATGTGTGCATGGGTTTGGGGGTATTTTTTATTGGTCATTATATATTTTTATTTGAAATAAATCATGTAGCACCTGATCCGTATGAAATAAATTCTTAAAAAATGTTGGGAGTTACTGTGGCAGAGGTTGCTAGTTCTCTAGTAAAACACATATTTTTATTCCATAGTTTTCTTGATATAACTAGGCACATAGTTAGGTACTATATTTCCCAGCCTCCTTTATACTTAGATATGATGACCATGATACTAAATTTTGCTAGTGGAAGAAGCACTTAGTTGGTGCTACCTATGGAATTATTTTTCAGAAATGTTTACTCTTTCTCCTCATTTTCAAAGAAGGATACTACTCTGGTCATTGATACAGACTTTGTCATGTGCTTATTTTGGCCAGTGATAACAAGAAATCAGACACAACAGAGGATTGAGATGTGCTTGTACATTTGGGTTTGCTCTCTTGTACCGTTGCCACTGACATAAGAAGAGTATGTCTCCTACCCTCTGGTCCAGGGAAAGCCATGAGTCTCAGTGTTGCATTGGGCCCAATCCACATCAATGACCTTTAGTTGATGCCCTGCGCATGAGCCAAATAAATACTTCTGTTGTACAACACTGAGATACACGATTGCTTGTTCTATGATAGTAACTGATACAGTGCCACTTCCATCGTCTGGTCCTTAAAGGAGCATGGAGCTAGAACTCTTCTATACTCATTTTCCTTCACTTTGTACGGAACAGTGATGTCCCTGTGACCCACTTTGGAGCATCAGATCATGTACTACCTTAATACAGTATTAAGATAAGTGATATCTCTTATGAAATAAATTATGTCTTAGTAGTGTATTATATAAGTAAAACACCAAATTTAATGTTAAGGTGACATTTGCTCAAAATATAGAAAATTAAGTTATAAGTTAGCATATTAACTAAGAAAGTTTGGCATTTAATGGTTTTAAGGCAGTGTTTCAACACTAAATATTTGTTTCAGACTTTTTAGAGCAGTTTCAGATTCACAGCAAAATTGAGAGGAAGGTGCATGGATTTCCCACATAACCCCGGACATCAGTGATTCATTGCTTTCCTCATTATAATCATCCCCTACCAGAGAGGTACATTTGCTATAATTAATGAATCCACATTGTCAGATCATAATCACCAAAGTCCGTAGTTCACATTATAGTTCACTCTTGGTCTTGTATACTATATAGGTTGGACAAATGTATAATGACATATATGCATCATTATAGTATCCTACCAAGTATTTTCATTGCCCTAAAAATACTCTTGTGTTCCACCCATTCATCTCTTTCCCCAGCAACCCCTGGCAACCACTGATCTTTTTATTGCCTCTATAGTTTTGCCTTTTCAGAATGTAATCATATTATATGTTGTAATCATGTCCTATGTAGCCTTTTCAGATTGGATTTTTTTACTTAATGCACATTTAAGGTTCTTCCATGTGTTTTCATGGCTTAATAACTCATTTCTTTTTATTACTGTATATTATTCTGTTATCTGGGTATACTACAGTTTATTTATTCACATTCACCTATTGAAGGACATCTTGGTTGCTTTCATGTTTGGGCAATTATCAATAAAAAGTTGCCATAAATATTCATGTGCAGGTTTTGTGTGAACATAGTGTTCAGCTCTTTTAGATAAATACCAAAGAGTGTAAATACTGGATTGCATGGTGAGAGCACATTAAGTTAGTTAAGAAACTGCCAAAATATCTTGCAAAACAGCTCTGCCATATTGTATCTCCACCAGCGATGATAAGGGTTTCTGTTGCTCCACATCCTTGCCAGCATTTAGTGTTGTCATTATACTGAATTTTGGCAATCCTAATTGGTGTTATTTTGATAGCTCTTTGACGTTTTTGGATGACATATTGGAGCATCTTTTCGTTTGTGTACTTGCCTTTTGTGAGGGGTCTGTTTATTCCTTTGGTTTCTTTGCTCCATTTTTAACTTTTTTGTTCGTTATTGCTTAGATTTAAGAGGGTTTTTTAAAAATATTTTTAGAACAATCTTTATCAGATGTTTTTCAAATGTTTTTCAGCCCATGACCCTCATGCTCTTCACATTGTCTTTTGCAAAGCAGAATGTTTTTTCATTTTAATGAGCTCTAGCTTATCGATTATTTTTTCCATGGATCATGTCTTCAATGTGGTGTCTGAAAAGGCATTACCATAACCAAGTTTTCTCCTGTGTTACCACTTAGGAGTTTTGCATCTTACTTTGAAGCCTGTGATCCATTTTTGTATTAACTTTTATGTGGGATTTAATGATTGTGTCTACATTCATTTTTTTTTTTTTTGCATGCAGATATTTAGTTGTCCTAGCACCATTTATTGAAAAGACTGTTTTTGCTCCATGGTATTGCCTTTGCAATGGGACCATAATATTATGCAATATTTAGAAACTTAAAATTTTTACTTATGCATATTCATAAATGTTTACTTGATTCATCATTTTAATCAAAGATTATTACCTTCTATTTTTCTTTTAAAAATATTTATTTATTTTTAGAGAGCAGGGAAGGGGAGGAGAAAGAGAGGGAGAGAAACATCAATGTGTGGTTGCACTTGTGTGGCCCCCTGTTGGGGACCTGGTCCACAACCGAGGCATGTGCCCTGATTGGGAATTGAACTGTTGATCCTTTGGTTTGCAGGCCAGCACTCAATCCACTGTGCCACACCAGCCAGGGCCTATTTTTCTTTTTAACAAAGACAGAACATTGTAATTTATTGTCTTTTAACTTTTAAGTAGTTAGGAATTAGTAAGAGCAATGCAAATGCAATGAAAATTCCTTTTATTTATTAAAAATTTTTATTGATTTTAGAGAGAGAGGAAGAAACCTAGAGAGAGAGAGAGATCAATTTGTTATTCCACTTATTTATGCATTCATTGGTTGATTCTTGTATTTGCCTTTACCATGGATTAAACCTTCAACCTTGGCATATCGGGATGATGTGCTAACCAACTGAGCTACCTGGCCAGGGCCAAATTTTTTATTTATTAAAGAATGCAGAAGGTATTTTAATTCTGATATTTAGTGCTTGATTTGACTGTTTTGGAAAGAGGCATTGCTAAATCAGACAAGATATCATTCTTCAACTTAAAATTTAATTTCTCGGATTTCCTATAGTGCTCATCCCTATTTTAAATTATTAAAATAATTGGAGGAAATAATTAATTTGAGTGGGAATTTAAATTCTTACAGACATTGTGTTATGAAATCTATGTTCAAATAACATCTTTTGTGGTAATATTAACAGAGAAGGATATAGTACACTAACCTACAGGTGGTATATTGTGTTTTTTACTATAAAATAAAGCTGGTTGATAACGCAGGGCTGTTCTGTGGACTGCTGACAAGCACAAA